GTACAGCTTAAGCAGGTGTTTGCTCTTCGCTGCATCCGCAGGACTGTGGCTAACGAAATGTTTCAAAACACGCCATTTATACCCTTGCTTGCGCCTGTCGGATTTGCGCTGCATGCGCCACTAGTTAACCGCATTCTCAGGCTTTTTTATTTCTATGGGCAGCAAATGCTTGCTTGCCTCGGCTGCTTCTGTTGCACTGACATGAGTCCTACGTACTTCCTCCTTTTTACTTGTTGAATTGACCGGCTTTATGACTCTCCGTTTATCGATCCAGCACCTTGTTCTTCGCTGCAAGCTTGCGCAGGTGTTTCCGCACATTTGTGCATGCATACCGCCCTGCCCTGCATGCGTACGCGTTGCGGACGAGAGCAGTAAGCCTACCGAGCGGCCGCAGTTCGCACTTTTTAGGCTGCGGAAGTACATAGCGGAAGCTGAGGAGCTTGATATTAGTTTCCACCAGTAGCACTTTCCCTTTCTATACTCGGGCGCACAAGCCTTGACATCATCGACGCAGGACAACTCGCCCCGATGAAGGGGCAGCATACAAGTGCATGGGCCACAGCCAGAAGAGCGGACAACCACAGTTTCGGGACAATTTGCACTAACGAAGTTCATAAATGGCTCACGTGCCTTATATGGAGCTGATGCATCGACAGAGCAGCACTAGTCGAGCATGAGGGACCTCGGCCCTCCGCATCGCCGATTCGGCCGGGATGGCAGGGATTTTCCGCTGGGGTTTCACGTCGCGTTCGGCGGCGGCAGGGGGCATTGTGTAGACAATAATAATTGAAATACCTCATTAAAGAATTTTAGCAATGGCAGGGTTGCAAACCGAACTCCAGCACATCAGCAGAATGACTCTGTTCCGGAACGAATGGGCCAGTCGCAGTCCGCTCCCTCGCCGCCACTTCCTGCACACACTGCATAGCATATTGCTACTTCTGTACTTGCGGGCCCTCAACACTTTCGCCACTCTTCCCGTTTACTCGTTCACATACTAAACTTCGACTCTGAAAACATGGCGGCCCTTAG